CAAAACTGACATCTGTTCCCAGATGGCTTAGGAAAAGTGAAGATGCGTGAGGCCAACTTGTGTGACAGCCTGCTTGGTACCTGGAATGGAATTGTGGGGAGGAAGTATTTCTCCCTGTTAAGCAACTCACACTGAAGTGGGGCAGAAGTGAAAGGTCAGTTAGGGAAAAAGAGATGTGATTTTTTTGTTTGGCGGTTGAAGAGATGGTAATGGTGGAGGGCCCTGAAAATGCTAAAGATGAAAAAGGGGTTGGTGTTGGGGGAGGAGCCAAGGTTCGCTGTTGGACAGAACGGGACAAACAGGAATTTAAATGTCGAAGGCCTGGAGAAGCCAGTCCCTGTGTATTTCTTGGAAGACATATACAAAACCCAGCAGTGTTAGATTCATTTTTCGTGAGGAACACATTAAATGTGAAACATTGCATAATGTTAACGTGTAAGAACGTTTTACGTTTGAAAGAAAGATAAGAATAGAAAGGTTAGGTTCTAATCTGTGGAATTATTTCTTTGAAAAGGGCATCCGTGGCCAGCTAGTGCTAGAAAGTTGTGACAAATATAGTCCTCAAAGAGGGTGACAGACTCATGATTACAGTGGTTTTATGGAAAGTTTGTGTAATACTGTCAAGGTGGTCAACAGACTTTGGTTTGGTTTTCCTTAGGATTATTATGAGTTAGAATTTACTGGTTTTCATTAAAGAAAGGGTTAGTTTCTCCATTTAATTGGGGAGCAGCTTGATGTGCATCCACTGTGCAGATTGATCTTCGTATATTCATTTTGGAGGTGGAATTGTGGGTGGGTGTAGGCATGTGTCTCTCTGGGGATTATTTCGAAGTTAGTGTTCTTTGGTCAGAGTAATGCCTGACCTTTTACACTGTCATTCTCCAGTTGGAAATTGGGAAACAGCTCCACGGAGAACAATTTTTTTCATTGTGAAGTATAAGAAGTATGATTAAGAGATGAATAGGTTTTTCTTAAATTTTTCTTTTGACTTGATAACTTTTGACTTTTGCCAAGGAAGATGAAATAGCTTTCTATAATTTTAAGAGGTTTTCGTAGGAAAGAAAATGTTTTGTTTGTGCCATAGGAGGGAATAAAAATGGTCATGTGACAGACTTGAGTTCTTTCTATTTCCTTTTTTGAAAATGGGCCTAGCATTTTCCCCCACATATTTTCAATGTCTTGAGGTAGAAGGACATTCTACATTAAGCACAGATGCTGTTACTGGATTACAGATCATTTATATGGGGTTTAGATTTAAATGAAAAGACTGTTGGTGCCTTTGAAGGAAAAATACATTATACAGAGTATAAATGAAAGAAATCATTGCAATATGTTATGACAACTAAAACTGATTCAGTTTGGAAATCAAGCTATCAGGGGAAAGGAAAGCTAGGAGATCTCTTATATTATCTTTTAAAGGACAGACCATAAATTAATTTTTGTAATGTTTTAAGAATCTATTTTTAATAGTAGTACTTAGGAACTGGAGTGAAAAATGAAGAAAACGTTCAAAGATAAACATTTCTCTTGGTACTTGGTATAACTGAGAGATGAGGTGGGAGTCAAGCATTTTTCCCCCACATGGAAAATTTGCTCTTGCCTCGGCAGAATGTGGGAAGGGAACGGGTAACAGGACAATGTGACTGCGGCCATGAGCAACAGTCCTAGAAACCAGAAAAGAAGTGTGAAGTTACAGAGAGCGGTATTTATGACATTGACGAACATCCCCGGAGAGGTGGATCCCCCACACCAGGATCTCGGGTTTCAGACGGTGTACTGTGTTTCCATGCTCGTTGTGCATTTTCAACTTAGAGTCTGGATTCTTCCAGGTAACCCAGGGGGGCTGACCCTCAGTTTTTTTAAATCACTGCTAATTCATTCTTAACCTCTTTGAGCTGTCCTGTTAATTCATCCCTGGATAAACTATAGATCTTAGGTGATACAGAGGAATGGGAGAGGAGGCTAGATTGCTACGGAGGTGGAGTTGTCCCTGTGGCAGGAGCATCTTCTCAACCCCTTAGGGGGTTCGCAGGCTTGGAGGTTCCTCCGGGGTTCTCTACACATTAACCTTGCTCTAGTTGGGCAGTGTTGGGCAGCTTCCTACCATCGACCAGATGATTTCATACTGCTGCCTGCGCTCTCTGAGTACACGTGCACTGATAAATCAGGCCAGTCCCTGTGAGGTGTAAACAGGAGAAGAAGATAATAGGCACGTATTAATCTTCCATGTATTCATAAGAATACCTGCCAGTTGTACTGCTGATCTGAACCGCTAGTCACTGAACAAGTTTTGTTTCATGTGGTAACCTTTTATCATTTCTTGGGGTTTTGTGCCCTGAGCCTACCACCCGTATTTGAATTGTCTCTTAGGTTCATTTTGTTCCTGACCTGACTGCCTTCTGGTATGAGTGATGTGAAACTGGGTGGTGTCTCTTGCTCACCCAAATCACAAGAGAGCAAATGACATACATCAATCCCATGTAGCTGTAAGGAAAGAATGGAGGGACTTGGGTGGAGCTTCACTCTGGTTCAGGATTTCCAGAGCCTCGGTCCAAGCTCTGGCCTAGTGGCGGTGGTAAAAAACCAACCTGCAGGCTCTTTCAGCTTTGGAAGGGGGTTGAGTGTATGTCTTGAGTTCTGTGAAAACAATGATCTGCAAACTCTGATCCACATGGTTTTTAAGAGCGCAGGGTGGGTGCTGTTAATGGTGCCTTTATTGTGAGCTGTCGCCTTGCAAGTGCTGTACCAGGCTGGAAAATAGAAGTGGTGACATTCAGGGATATTCCCAGGTGGGTGGACTCTGAAGTGATATATTACCTGACAGATGGATTTTTCATTCCCCATATTTTGCAGTTGAAATGTTCCATTTCATTTTAGAAAGAAAGTCATAGTCATAGACTTCTGCACTGGGTATGATTTTTCAGAGGTACGTTCACATCAGTATCAGCTTAGAAGCGTTGATGTTTTGCTTCCTTGGCACCTTTTATCTTGGTCCTGCAGGGAATCTGAGAGAATAGTGGCCATGGAGTATCTTCTCTAGGCTAATAAGCAAACCATTTAGAGAAAAGCCTGTGTGACTTCTTCAGCCCTGTGTATGTGAATGGAGGGTGATTTATTTTTTAGCTCCTATTGAACCGTGAGTGTTTATTTTTCCCAAATTCTTAGATGTGTTTGTGTGTGTCTCAGAGTGAGTGAATATGCTGAGAGTGTCTTAGTAGCTGATGGTGGGTTTGTGGTTTATATGAGTTTTCACAGGAATGTATATTGTCATCTGAGTAGATCTGTCTTGACTCTTACACAGTTACTTTTATTAGGAATGCATGATTTTACAAGAAAAAATTCAATGTTCTGCAGTGAAAGGTAGGAAACAACTTCACGATTTAATGCAGATTTAAAGGAAGAATAAGATAGTAAATACTGAAGAGGAAACTATCTAGAAATATGTGTCTACACAGCAGGCTAGTTTTTCCATTGAAAGTTGCCTAGAATCTGCTGTAACCCTCTTCCTTTCTCACATTGTTGTTCCTTGTTCTTCATTCTCCCCCTTTGCTTACCTTTCTTCCTTCCTTTTCTGCCTTGCGTCTTGCCTCCTTCCACCCAAGAAGGAAGGAACAGCCCCACAGAGATTGCCTCGCTTCCTGAGGGTCCCAGAGCTAGTGAGTGACAGCTGCGAGAGGCCCATTCTTCTGCTAAGAATACAGGGTTCTGGCCCTTGCTGTGTGGCGTGTTAGTTATTTAGCACTTTAGTGGAAAGGTGGGTGAGACATTGCCTGTCTTCTGTCAGTCGACAGGCTATTAGGTAAGAAGAGACAAATTCACCCACACTGTAGTCCATACCAGAGAATGGTGGGATTGTGGGATGGAGGCCTCGGGGGGTTCAGGGAAGAGAAAGAGCTCTCCTACAGTGGAAGTTTTATCTGGTCCCCACAGGCACGTATCCCCTGCAGGTAGGGTGAGGATGCCTCTTACAAGACCCTAAGCATTTCATGTATTCACATATCCTTCCTCTTCAGTAATGGCTGTGACTGTCCATTTTCATAAAACTCTCCTTCCTCCTATCCTCCAGGGTTTTGTGGACATTATTGGGGACATTTCTTTGTAGACTGTTACCCACTCTGATGTAGTCCTCATGCAACAGAGAAGGCCTGCCCTCTTCTGGGCTTGGTCATACCTTTGGGGCCATGTTGTTACACATTGAGAGTAATTTCATGGAAGGGCCTTTCTCAGCTGCCAGAGTCACTTGCGCCCACTCTGTTGGGTGAGTGGCAGTTGGGAAACGGCTGTGTTACATTGACCACTAACAGCACTGAACTAGGGAGGGAGAAGGAAGGGGCGCTATACGTTTCTGCCAGTGAAATTTTTTTTTTTTTGTACATAATGGAGAAAATTAGGATTGAATGAAAAGTGATGGAATTAGCTCCTTAGAGATGAAAAAATAAAACCTCCCGTGGTACTTCAGTAGATACCCTGTGGTGTATTGGGATGTACATTTCTTCCGTGGATGAACTGAAATCTGCAATTGAGTTTTTGATGGGAATATATTCCTTTTAATGTGCTATCCCAAATCTGATGGTGATTATAATAGTGATAATTCTGCCAGTAGAATTAAATGCTTTCAGGATCAGAATGTGTTTGAAAGTAGCTCTTTGTGAAATCAGCATGATGAACCGGTGATAAATGGCAAATTTTCTTGTTGGTACACCACACCCTAGTTTTTGTGCTCTAACAGTTTTGACAGACTCCATTCTTGCTAGAGAGGTGCCGTGCCTGTGGTGCTGCACAGCTCTGTGGAGCAGTCAGTCTGAAGCTGGAATGACCAAGGCTTCATACATCGTCTTGGATGTCTGCTTGCTTTGACTCAAAGTTCCAGAGTTATAAGTGTAGTCACCAACTTCCTCTTTCTTGGTAATCATCACTGTGTCAGTGTAAGTCCTTCAGGAATATTTATCTCATTACAAAATGTCGGTTGCTGACAGCATCATTTTCTGTTTGTTTAACAGAACGTCTGATCACATTCATGACCATGGGGGATATGAAGACCCCAGACTTTGATGACCTCCTGGCAGCGTTTGACATCCCAGATATGGTCGATCCAAAAGCAGCCATTGAGTCTGGACATGATGAGCAGGAGACCCACATCAAGCAGCACGCTCATGCAGACGACGACTCCCACACACCATCCTCTTCCGATGTGGGTGTCAGCGTTATCGTTAAGAATGTTCGTAACATCGATTCCTCCGAGGGCGCGGAGAAAGATGGCCACAATCCCACGGGCAATGGCTTGCATAATGGGTTTCTCACCACATCCTCTCTTGACAGTTACAGTAAAGATGGATCGAAGTCCTTGAAGGGAGATGTGCCTACCTCAGAGGTGACTTTAAAAGACTCAACTTTCAGCCAGTTTAGCCCTATCTCAAGTGCTGAAGAATTTGATGATGATGAGAAGATTGAGGTGGATGACCCCCCTGATAAAGAGGACGTGCGTCCAGGTTTCAGATCGAATGTGCTGACAGGTTCAGCTCCCCAGCCAGACTATGATAAACTGAAGGCACTTGGAGGGGAAAACCTAAGTAAAACCGGAATCTCTACTTCAGGCAATACAGATAAAAACAAAGTTGCTAAGAGAGAAACAGAAACAAATTCTATAAATCTGAGTGTTTATGAACCTTTCAAAGTCAGAAAAGTAGAGGACAAATTGAAGGAAAACTCTGAAAAGGTGCTTGAAACCAGGGTCCACGACGGGAAGCCGAGCTCTGAGAAGAATGATGCCACCCTTAGCAGCGTCGCACCGTCGAGGACAAAGCCATCTTCCAAGCTTTCTTCATGTATAGCTGCAATCGCAGCACTTAGTGCTAAAAAGGCTGCTTCAGACTCCTGCAAAGAACCAGTGACCAATTCACGGGAATCCTCCCCATTACCAAAAGAAGTAAATGATAGTCCTAGGGCCATTGAGAAGTCTCCTGAATCCCAGAGTCTCATTGATGGGACAAAAAAGGCATCCCTAAAGCAGCCGGATAGTCCCAGGAGCATTTCAAGTGAAAACAGTAGCAAGGGATCACCATCCTCTCCCGCGGGATCGACACCAGCAATTCCCAAAGTCCGCATAAAAACCATTAAGACATCTTCTGGGGAAATAAAGAGAACAGTGACAAGGGTATTGCCAGAAGTTGATCTCGACTCTGGAAAAAAGCCTTCTGAGCAGACAGGGTCCGTGATGGCGTCTGTGACGTCACTTCTGTCATCTCCAGCCTCGGCCGCCGTCCTTTCCTCTCCCCCCAGGGCACCACTGCAGTCGGCGGTCGTTACCAATGCGGTTGCCCCTGCAGAGCTGACCCCCAAACAGGTCACTATTAAGCCTGTGGCAACCGCCTTCCTTCCAGTGTCTGCCGTGAAGACAGCAGGATCACAAGTCATTAATTTGAAGCTCGCTAACAACACAACGGTCAAAGCCACGGTCATATCTGCCGCCTCTGTTCAGAGCGCCAGCAGCGCCATCATTAAAGCTGCCAACGCCATCCAGCAGCAAACCGTTGTGGTGCCGGCTTCCAGCCTGGCCAGTGCCAAACTTGTGCCAAAGACTGTGCACCTCGCCAACCTTAACCTTCTGCCTCAGGGCGCCCAGGCCACCTCTGAGCTCCGCCAAGTGCTAACCAAACCTCAGCAGCAAATAAAGCAGGCAATAATCAATGCAGCAGCCTCGCAGCCACCCAAGAAGGTGTCTCGCGTCCAGGTGGTGTCCTCCTTGCAGAGTTCTGTGGTGGAAGCTTTCAACAAGGTGCTGAGTAGCGTCAACCCAGTCCCAGTTTACATCCCCAACCTCAGCCCTCCTGCTAACGCAGGCATCACGTTACCCACCCGTGGGTACAAGTGCTTGGAGTGTGGCGACTCCTTTGCTCTCGAGAAGAGTCTGACTCAGCACTACGACAGACGCAGCGTGCGCATTGAAGTAACGTGTAACCACTGTACAAAGAACCTCGTTTTTTACAACAAATGCAGTCTTCTTTCCCACGCCCGGGGGCATAAGGAGAAGGGAGTTGTGATGCAGTGCTCCCACTTGATTTTAAAGCCCGTTCCAGCAGATCAAATGATTGTTTCTCCATCAAGCAATACTTCTGCTTCATCTTCCGCTCCTCTGAGCTCTGTGGGAGCCGGCACACACACTGTAACCAAAATCCAGTCTGGCATAACCGGGACGGTCATATCGGCTCCTTCAAGCACACCCATCGTTCCAGCTATGCCTCTGGATGAAGACCCATCCAAGCTCTGTAGGCATAGTCTGAAATGTTTGGAGTGTAACGAAGTTTTCCAGGATGAGACGTCGCTGGCTACACATTTCCAGCAGGCTGCAGATACAAGTGGACAAGTAGAGTATCATTTACATTTTGGTGTTTCGGTGATGAATCTGTAGACATAAATCCCCTATACAATGTCCTTGAGTTCAGGAGTCGTTGCTCAGTTAAATGAGGGTGTGTGGGTGTGTGTATGCACACACGTGCAAGAGAAAGGATTATTCTCAAAGAGTAGAACAGTATTGTAACATGAATCTTTATTTAAAAAACAATTTTGGGGGAAGATGATTCCTTTAGACAGAAACTGTATGAGGTGAGTTATGGCACTTTAGATTTAGGGTAAGTAAAGGAGTTCTTAATTGTTGAATCACTGGAATACAAGTTGGAAGTCTGAGATCTGGGTAATTACAGTATCATCTCATTGCATTAAGTGTTCAAGTCAGGCTACGTCACCAATGTTACTGAGTTATTAGTGACAATTTGGGGGTTTAAAGAATTCCTCTTGTTACTTATAATTACCGTCTTCTGTGGTTAAACACACCTAACTGGTACCCATTTTTATGTCAGCTTACTAAAGATGTTGGTGCAGAGGTGTATCAGTAATAGTCTTCACTGCACTGAATTTAAGCTACGAGTGAAATCCATCTTTATTGAAATAGAAATAAATATCTTTGCATGTTGCAGCTTTGTTTTTTGTGGTGAAGTGTATGTCAGTGAAATGCATCATGGACTTCAATCAGACCTTTTTATCTTTATCATTTGCTTCTCTCCATGAGGCAGTTTTTGGCCAATAGGTAAATGTGTTTTACAAATATACCTATCATTTGGCAGTACCTGAACATGTTGAATGAAACAAATTCCAGCTAGAAAGACCATGTGATTTATAGTCCAAACCAGAAAACTTGTGAAATTGGAAGGGGGTAGTGGCGGGAGTGGGGTGGGGCGCCAGTTTGTGCTGATAAACTCTGGCTCAAACTTCTGTTTATGAAGACTCCGTAGTAAACTGCTCTTCCTTCATTTCCCTCCAGTATCTTAATGAGGTTCATGCTGTGGTTCAGACATCCATTACTGTTGCCGTGATCCATAGTTAAGTTCTCTGTTGGATTTTGATTTTGGGGAATAAAAGATCAAGAATACCTCAATATTTTTTTCTCTGGATTTTCAGCAGAGTGGAAATGGAGGTGATAGAGTTCTGAGAGCTTTCTTGTAGCTTTGGGTGTTTGTTGAGTGATTCATCGTCTCTGACAGGAGTAAAGTGGCTGACTGGGTCAAGAAGGCAGCAGCTGTAGCTCTTCCAGCACGTATACGAGCGACATTCTTGGGTTCCATCTGGGTACCCTCTTACCTTGTCACCACTTCATCGCAAGGGTAATAGTCCTTCCATCTTAAAAGGATGCAGTTAAAAAAGCCATTTCCTCTGTTCTGTTTGTTCTGATACCTTGTTGCTGTGCCTGGGGTGTTTTGTGTGGGGTGGTAGACTATGTCCTGGCTTGGGAAGTACCCCCCCAAGCTCCTGTGTGCTGGTCAGTATCTGGCATTTTGAGCTGCCTATCTGCTCTCTCAGAATGACCCTTAAAACAGTCTCCTTATAGAGTTTAGACATTGAACTAATGGCATCTCAACTACCAATCTTTGCTGAGCCCCTCCTTTCCTCTGTTGTCCACCATATTTATGTTTTAAAAACTTTTCCATTTCTTCATTGATGGCCACAGTTTTGGGAACTCAGGTATACTGAGAGAGTAGACGTTATATTTGTTATCAGCTCCATGACCTCACACCTGGCTGTGCTGTCTTGAGTCGGAACCCAGTGCAGTTTAAGCCCTGTGCCTGAAGCTGCCCATTCTCTCTGCTGCCTTCCTGAGAACTGCCCCCAGGCATGGTTCCCTCTGTCTGCATGACAGTCTTAGAGATCATCTACTGTGGATTCCTGAACTGACCCTACTGCTACTGTTGGTTCTAAAGGTTAAAGTGTGTGACCTAGGGCTCTAGCGAGACTGACAGGTTCACTACCTCTTGCTCATTGCCTTTCAACTTTTAGCTTTAGCAAACCTAGAAAAAAGGTGTACGAGTACTCTGGCACCAGGGATACCCCTCCCTCCCTTCCTCCTGCCCACCTTCTACTTAAAATTACCACAAAAATTTTAAATTTTACCTGGTAACACTGAAATGACCTGTGCTGATATTCTGGGTCTGTCTTCTCAAATCATTCAATTTTTAAAAATTAAACTTCTAATTTTGAGATAGTTTTAGATTCATGGGGGAATTAATATAGAGATCCTTTATACCCTTTATCCATTTTCCCCCGATGGTAACATCTTGCAAAACTAGAACGGTATCATAATCAGGATATTGACATCAGTGTGGTCAACACGCAGGATATTTCCATAACCCCAACGTGCTCTGATGCTGCCTTTTTAGAGCCACCCCCACCCCTTTCTTAACCTCTGGCAATCGCGGATCTGTTCTGCATCTTTACAATTTCTTCATTTCAGGAATGCTTTATAAATGGATTCCTATCATATATAAGCTTTTGAGATTGGCATTTTTCACTCATGGAGATAAATACATGGAGATTTACCTAGGTTGTTGTATATATCAGTAGTTTGTTCCTTTTTGTTTCTGAGTAGTACTCCATTGTGTGGTCGTACCACAGGTTGTTTAACCATTCACTTGTTGAAGGTCATCTGCATTGTTCCAAATTGGAGCAGTAATGAATAAAGCTTCTATAGACATTGTGTACAGGTTTGTATGTGAAAATAAGTTTTCATTTTGCTGGAATAGGTGTGTAATAGCTAGGTCATATGGTAGTTTCATAATTTATATTCTTAAAAAAACTTTTCAGAGTGGCTGTACCATTTTATATTCCACAAGCAGTGTGCAAGTGATCCAGTTTCTCTGCATCCTCTTCAGCATTTGGCAGCATGTTATTTTTATTTCAGCCATTCTGATAGGTGTGTAGTGATAGCTCATTGTGGTTTTAACCTGCAGTTCCCCAACAGCTAATGATACCAAAATCTTTTTCATGTGTCTGTTTGCCATCTGTATATCCTTTTTGGTGAAATGTCTCATCATGTCTTTTGTCCATTTTCTAACTGAATCGAGTGGGGTTTTTTTTTTTTTCTTTAACTGTTGAGTTTTAAGAGTTCTTGATATATTCTAGATTACAGTCCTTTGTTGGATATATTGTTACAATCCTTTTCTCCAAGTCTGTGGCTTCTTTTTTCTTTGGCAAGAGCAAAAGTTTTAAAATTTCGATGAAGTCTTAATTTATCAGTTTTTTCTTTTGTAGCTGTGTTTCTGGTGTCAGGTCTAAGAACTTTGTTCCAGATCCCGAAAAGTTTTTCCTATTTCCCCCCCAACAAATTTTGTGGTTTCTTGTTTTATGTTTAAGCCCATGATCCATTTGGGGTTAATTTTTGTATAAAGTGTGAGACTTAGGTTGAGATTTTTATTGGTCCATGCGTATCCTCTTCCAGTACCATTTGTCCTTTTAAAAGGCTGTCTTTCCTCCCTTGCACTGAATTGCATTTGCACCTCTGTCAGGTATCAGTTGGGCATATTTCTGTGTGGCTATTTCTGGGTTCTCTCTTCTGTTCCATGGTTTTTGTGTCCGTGCCTCCAGCAACATGACAGAGTTTTAATTATTTTAACGACAAAATGTTTTAAAGGCCAGTAGACTGATTACTCTGACTTTGCTTTTTTTGTCTTCCCATATACATTTTCGAACAGTCTTGTCTAGATCTAAAATAATCTTGGCTGGGGTGTTGGTGGGAATTATGTCTAACCTCTGTCAGTTTGAGGGGGATTGCTATCTTTATTATGTTGACTTCAGTCCGTGAACACAGAACGTCTCTCCATTTATTTAGATCTTTCTCTTATCATTTTGCATTTTCATCATCAGTCCTCAACATTTTGTTCTGCTCTTTCTTTCTTCCTAGCAGTTGTAAATGGTATTGCATTTTTCACTGTCCACATGATCAGTGCTGATATATAGAAATATAATTAGTTTTTGTATATTTATAATGAACCCTTGACTTTGTTGGACTCATTTATTGGATTTAGAGTTTTTTTTGTGGGGGTAGATTACATTGTTTTGTTTTTTTTTCAGATACTGAACCAGGCTTGCATTCCTGGAATGAAACTCACATGGTCAGGCTGTATAATTCTTTTTGTATACTGTGAATTACATTTACTAATACTTTGTTACTTTTACATCTGTATTCATACAGGTTTCTTTTTTTGTACTGTTTTTTTTGTGTAGTTTTGGATAAGTTAATACTAGCTTTTTATAATGTATCAAGAAGCATTCCCTCCTTTTCTCTTTTCTGGAAGAGTCTGTATAATTGGTATTAGTTTTTCTTCAAATATTTGGTAGAATTCTCCAGTGAGAACACTTGGGCCTGGAGATTTCTTTTTGGGGATTTTTAAAAACACCCTCTTGGCTGGTAGAGGGACTCATTATCACTTGGTAGGGATGGAAGTCCACTTCCCTGTTGGCCTTCTCTACACCATCTAGGGAGGGATACTGGGACACCTTATTACAAGCCGCAAGAAGGTGGACGTCTGGGCTCCATCTGGACTTGTCATGGTCAGTGTGTGGCTACACGGTTTCCTGTGGTATTTGGCTGGAGTAGAGCAATGATCATCTAGAAGTTGTCTCTTTTGTTAGCCTACCCCTTTCCTGGTCCTTCGGTTAGAGATAGCAGGGTTTTGTTGGAGATTTTTTTTTTCTCTATGCATTGGCATTTCTGGGTTGCCAGTTTCTATAACTCTAACTCTGGGATATATAAGGCAAAAAGAAGCCCAGGGAACACCGGAGTGTGTCATTCCTCAGGTCCCAAGGTCCCTAGCCAGCCTGCCCCGGTCCCTAGCCAGCCTGCCCCCTGCTCTCTGTGTTCAGTCTTTTTATGTTTAATATATAGTGCTCTGGGGTTGTAGTTGGGCTTATTAGAAGGAATAGGTAAAGGTACCTTTGTTCCATTTTCCTGAACGTGAAAGTTTTCCTCAAGTTTGTTCAAATGTCCTTTGTTCTGTCTTCAAGGAGAAATTCTGTTGTTAGGCTCTGCCTGAGGCT